CTGTGAAAAACATTATCATGTTTAAGTAAAGAATGTGATTTGCACCAGAAAAAAAGAAATTGTTGCTATGTAACTGGTACCGTGTCAAAATGTAATGAGATGTGATCATATATACTGTTTTAAGTATGTATATTAATGTAAAGCTTTCTAATTTGTGATGTCCTGTATTTTTTTTTGTGAAAAGAAAATAAAGTTCTAAAAAATCGAAATTGGGAAACAATCAAAACCGTTGATTAAAGCTCTTGCAATTAAATGAGATTCAATAATGCTTGGTGACAAATTTTGATCCCACTGACTCAGTTTGGGGATACAACTACTTTGTGGCACCCCATGCCTCCCAGGCCCCAGAGAGTTTGTGGAAAAAAAAAATTCAGATAGAACTTCAGAACCACCCATCCTAAACTTGGCTTGGGTCAAAAATCACAGCACTGAGCTTAACTGCTTAATTGTCTCAGTAGTGTGTGAATGCTAACCCTAACCCTACCACTGGTTCCTACTGAGCATTTCAGTTATCTAAACTTGAGCCTCTCTGGGTATCAAGTTTGACATGTTCCCCAAACCTAAAGGTATGAGTAGGAAACAATCGAGAACGTTGGTCTTATCTCTTGCAATTAAATGATATTCTATAATGCTTGTTGAAAACTTTTTATCCCAAAGTTTAACTTTCGGCATAAAAGTACCATGCTGTGCACGCCACCATCCAGGCCCCAGAGAGTTTCTGAAAAAAAGTTCTCAGATAACTCTATAAATCCACCCATCCCAAACCTGGCTTGGGCCAAAAATAACAGCACTGATTTTAAAACTTGTCTCAATAGTGTGTGATTGCTAACCCTAACCATACCTTGGGTACCAATTGAGCATTTCCGCGATCTATACCTGAGCCTCTCTGGGCATCTGATTTTGATTTCTTCTCCAACCAAAAATTGTGAGTGAGAAATAACCAAGACTGTTGATTAAAGCCCCTGCAAGGGAATGAGATTCAGTAATGCTTGGTTACAAATTTTAATCTGACCAACTCAGTTTTGGGATACAATTACCTCACAGTGTACCATGCCATGCAGGTTCCAGGGAGTTTTTGAAAATAATTTCAGATAGGAGCAAAAAACCACTCGTCCTAAACCTGACTTGGGCCCCAAAATCCACCGCTGATCTTAAATTTGTCTAAGAAGCGTGTGAATAGTTACCCTCACCCTACCTGGGGTGTCAACTGAGCACAATCTTTACAGTGACCTTCTCTGGGCATCAGATTTTGACATGCTCCCCAAACCAAAAAGTATGAGTGGCAAACAATCAAGACCATTGAGTACAAAACATTTTCTTCTTAAATTTTTCAGCCATCGCTT